TCCACTTGTATATTTTGTTTTAATGAATATCAATGTAATTCTTAATTATCAAATAACAACTGATAAATTTCATCAGAATTCAACATTGGATGATTTAATCAATGATATTAATCGAAATGTAAGCGTTTTTTGATTGATTAAAAATGAGAATTGAAGGCTTTGTTTGTGAAAATCTCTCCATGTATATATGTACACATTTTTTGAAACCATGAATCGATCAATGTTAGACCAGCACCATTAGAAACCTGGAAGCACTGGATGATGGCTGTTTCGTCCTGGTATGGGACTCCTCAGCATTGGGAAGACGTGACCAGCGAAGTTCAACCTGTTTGGGTGTGGGCAATGTCTACCGAAGACTGTGCATGAGGTTGCGCAACTCCGTGAATTTGATCAAGTGAGACATTAACACCGTTGGATACCGGCTCAGTGGTCTAACGGACAATACCGAAGGTCCTGGGTTCGAATCCTGCAGGGTGCAGGAGTCGTGGATGTGCACTGTCACTCAAGAGTCTCATACTTGGTCGAAACGGCCGTCGTGCAGTGCCTCCAGTTTTCTAATGGTGCTGGTCTAACATTGATCGATTCATGGTTTCAAAAAATGTGTAACTTAACAATCTTCATAACCCCTAATGTATATATTTGTAATAAGTTCTTATTGATTCTTTCAGTTCGACATTTTGTCAATCTGTTTTAATTCCCTTTTTGAGATGATAATATTCGTATTCTATTATCGTTACTATTCTATTCTATGTTTCTTTCTGAAGTGCATTACGTTGTTTCAGTTGATAGTTAGATATGGTGACAGCCATATTGATTTTGTTCCTCTGGTGGTTAGTACGCTTACACTGATTGGATGTGTGCAGTTTGGATTGGAAATTGAATCACTGTTCTAGAATTGGAAACACTCTGTGTGATAAGAGGAATAGAATATCATTCACTTATTGGAATACTTGAATAAATGATGCAGTAATCACATTTTTTAAATTTCAACTGAGCAAGACGCTGATCTAAACTTCCTTAGCAGTTATTTCTAAATCCAAACCTAAGTATTGGAGGCTACAACTGATTTTTTTTGATCAAGTTGTTAACAATAAAGGAGAAATGGATTTATTGGAGGCAGACATGAACACTGTTAAAGGCCATCTCAATGGTCTAAAGATTAAGAGTTCGCACATGAGCCTGAAAATCCTCAGATCCATTTTTACTGGTAATATCGTGGATGCCCACTGCGCACTAGTCACTACTACTAGGACGAAGCGGCCATCCAGTGCTTTCAGGTTTTTAATGGTGATCTAAAAATGATCATCGAATCATGATTTCAATATTTTTTTTTAAATCCACACTAAACTACTGATTGATTTATTCAATACACATTCTAAATTTATCTATGACAATCACATTTCATTAGTTGACATTGTGTTCACCTCTCTAATCTTGTTTTAGTCATCGATTGGATGGAAAGCTATGAAATATGATCGTTTCATCAACATTGAACATCATAATTCATTGAACACATTTAACATTATTATTGATGATCCAGCGGGATATTTTAAAAATACACCATTTGTTTCTTATGAAAATGTTGAAATAATCCTACCGGATACATTTGATTCACGTGTCCAATGGAATGATTGTCAAACTATTGGTATCATAAGTGATGAGTCTAGATGTTGTGCAAGTTATGTAAGTGAAATTTTTTATTGTGTGTGTTTAAGGTTAAGATCGAGGTGAACAGAACAAGCTACAGGGGTCATGCACGTGAAGAAATTCAAATAGTTCACTTCGTCTACCTGAAGTTTGTGCTGATGATGTTGTCTTCAGAAGAAGAACAACGATGAAAAAAGCTTCACAACTAAAATATCTAGCTCAGAGAACAAAAAACCACCCTTAATCATCTACTTGAGCTAAAAAATTTTCTCTACCATCCCAATATGTTACAGGCTAATCATGCCATAAGCTGACTATAAGCTGACTCACTATATCATAATATCGTATGTCGTACAATGATTCAGAGAAATTTTATGATCTCTCTATTGTATTGTCTTTGTTAAAGATTTAAAAGTTCCGTCAATCGAACTAATTTTCAAAATGGTAGACATTTACTGGTTTTAAACGAACATATGTTGTAACTTTCAATCTATAATTGACGTCTATATTGAGATAATAACAACACAGATACTCTGAAAACCCATAGTTTCGGATTATACATGTTGCAGTTCATAAAAAATTTAAATCAATATATAAATTTCAACTTATCATTCATTGTTCAACGTTCAATGTGTATTTATCGATTTCAATCTGTGTTTTTGTACTTAAGATGAAAAATCGCTTATCAGTTTTCTGCCACCAAAAGTGCAGAATGTTATCTCTTTATAGATGAACACAAATTTCACTACAATGTTTATTTGTATACACATTCTGATCTTTTTTCGAATACAAAGAATTGGACAATCATTTCGTTCTGGTATGGTACTCATCAGCAGTGCACATCTACGACTCCTAATACTCTCCCACAAGATTCACACCCAGGACCTTCAGCCTTGCGCATCAAAGCCTAACCTTTGGACTACTGCGCTGGAATCGAACGGTGTTATTGTCTAACTTTGATTTTGTGTGATCTCACCCATTTTTCTTTGGTAGTTACTGACTACACCCGACAGCATTGAACTCCACTTGTCACGTCTTCTCATGAGAACTCCAAGAATCTCCTCGCCAAGATAGTCATCAATGAGCACATTTTACCATATTTTTAATTACAGTTATGAAAATTAGTGTTTTTATACATTGCGCACTACTGATGAGTCGCATACCAGGTCGAAACAGCTGTTCAGTGCTTCCAAATTAAGATTACAGAAAACAACACAGTTTGTTCAGCGAATACCTGTACATTGTCTTCAACGAGTTATTTATAAACTGATGTCTTTTACCCTCCTTCTGGCCCTCATGCACTGCTTCATCTGACACATTTTCCTCTGATAACAATTTCTAGACAATGGTATACTGCATACTACTTGTTAGCCATTTCGCCTTTCACTACAAAATGTATGTGTAAATTGTCCCTCTCTCTCCTTCTCTCTACCTCTCTCTATACATATGTGCTATTTAAAACATCTTTGAACAGAGAAATGAGAAGACATATTTTGTGAGATAGTACCATTTCGTGCTTTCTCGTCAGTCACATACAAGCAACATGTTATTTGTGTAAATACAGTTTTGAAGATAAGGTCAAAATGTCTTATTCAGCATGACATTCACTCACTAGAACCATGGTAAACAAAGGTCACATAAAGTTAGACTTTTCCGATTAATCAAGATAGCTTCGAGCAGTTTGAGTGTATGTGGGTTTTGATCACATGTCACAACTTTGAAGGCTGATTTTAGGTCAATTTGATGACCACTCATCATTAGATGTTTTGCAATGGACGAGGCTGGGTTTCTTGATCGATCTTGAGATAGCGGGCTAGGTTGATGAATCATGGATTTGATTAACCATCTTGGAATATGTTCCCCTATCCTGTCCTCCAATTGGCGATCTGTCCTACCCAAGTAACTTTCTCCGCAGTTACATGTGAATTGGTAAATACAGTGGGATTTGGACTGAATCGGTCTTGAAGACTTGATTAGAGTAACTGAGATCGATTGAGTTGTTGTGATAAGCCTCAGATTAACTGCATTGAAGGTCTTTTTTATTGTAGCTGCAGTCTGTTTGGTAGTAATTTTCATACAATGATCACCCTTGAAAGGTAACTGTAGGTACACTGGTTTCTTGGGCACATCAGTTGCTATCAGTTTCGTCGTAGTTGTGTTCTGATGACCAATAAATGTTTCGGGATATCCGTTTAATTTAAGTGCCTCAGAAATAAGCTTAAATTCGTCGTCCATAATATCAACAGTGCAGATTCTACTTGCTCGAGTGAATAAAGTTTTGACAACAGAATGTTTATATTGTATGGGGCAGAAACTAGTGAAGTGGAGATACTGTCCTGGGTTTGCGAGGCAATTTTGGTCTGATTGATCCGTCTGGAGGGTGATGGAGCATCTTTGACTGAACCTTTCGAATGAAGTGAATATTAACAATTTGATTAATAACCTTTAAATCATCATTTTCTTTTCTCCATTTGTAAGTTTCTCTGTTTTACTTCCCTCATCGGTTTCTTTTGTATATTTTAATAGGCTATTGCATCCGTTGAAACAATGGCTAATCGTTTATGTATTAAGTCATATGGTCAAGCTACATTATTAAGTGCTTTCGATGTGTTAACATGTTGTACATATTGTGGTAAAGGTTGTCATGCCGGTTATTATATTATGCCATGGAATTATTGGCTTGAACATGGTATTGTTACAGGTGGACCAAATTTAGCCTATGCTGGTTGTAAACCATACCCTTATCCTAAATGTCATCATCATGACCATAATAAAAGTGATGTCTTATATCCAGACTGTGGACAGAAACGTTATAATTTACCGGAATGTATTGAAAAATGTCAATCAACATATAGAATTAAATATAAAAAAGATAAATATTATGGTAAGTTGTCAAGAAAATTTAGTTTGTATTACGGGTTGGTTGTGAAGATTGTTAAGTTACACAGTTTATTGAAACCATGAATCGATCAATGTTAGACCAGCACCATTAGAAGAAACCTGGAAGCACGCACTGGACGGCAGTATCGTCCTGGTATAGGAATACTCAACAGTGCGCATCCACGACTCGTGCGCCCTGCGGGATTCGAACGCAAGACCTTCGGTATTGTAGGCGAACGCCTAACTATCGGATCACTGAGCCGGTACCTACCAGTGTTAATGTCTAACTTGGTGAATTCACGGAGTTGCGCAACCTCATTCACAGTCTTCGACAGTTACTGTCTACACCCGAACAGGTTGAACTTCACTGGTCACATCTTCCCACTAGAACTCGGAGAAGATTCCTCACGAAGCTAGTCACTAATGAGCACAGGTAATTTGCATTACGGGGTTGTGAAGATTGTTAAGTTACACGTTTTTGAAACCATGAATCGATCAATGTTAGGCCATCACTATTAGAAAACTGGAAGCACTGCACGACGTCCGTTTCGTCCTGGTATGGGACTCTTCAGTGACAGTGCGCATCCACGACTCCATAAGATACCGGCTCAGTGGTCCGATGATTAAGCATTCGCCTACAATATCGAAGGTCCTGGGTTCAAATCCTGCGGGGTGCAGGAGTCGTGGATTCGCGCTGTCACTGATGAGTCCCATACCAGGACGAAACGGCCGTCTTTCAGTGCTTTCAGGTTTCTAATGGTGGTCTAACATTGATCGATTCATGGTTTCGAAAAAACAAAAAATTAATTTGTGTATGTTTTTCTTGTTGGGTTGTGTTTTTGGGGTTGAAATTTTCTTGATCCGACTATATTTTCGTAATGAATGAATTGAGGAGTTGTTCGTACAATCATCACAAATGACTATTATCTTCAATATTCCGTTGAAATTTTGAATCGACCAATGTTCATTCACCGTTGAATGCATTATCCTAGTTTGAGTCTAGTTAGCAGTGCGTATCTACGACCTCTTATTCAAGAATCCAGTCAAAGGCTTTCGATATCAAGTGTGAGTCCCTAACCTCTTCAACCCGAGGGCCGGCGTCCAAAGGTGTTCATGTTCAACTTGAATCGATACAGAATAAACCAATTCTATTATCTCTTGTAATTGGTGAGTAAACACCTTACCTACTGCTTATGGCTTCTCACAGTATATATTTAATGCGTTCAGTAATCCCAAGTTTTGTTACACACAGTTAAAACTCAAAATATAGCACAGGCCGCAGACTAGCATTTGCCAACCTACTCTACTATGAGCCCTTTTTTGGAGTTCCGTCCGATTCTTGCTCATTCTTCTCCCGTTTGTCTCCATTTCTGGGCTTAAGGTGTTCTATGACGTTGCTATTTTCCTTTGACCTTGTGGTTTTCAGGAGAAGGGTTTTCTTGTAGCGCAGTTTGATGCTTTTCTCCAAGTATGTGTCTTATCCTGATATCTCCCTCCGCCAGAGTCTAGTTTGTTCTGTTCCATAGTAGGTTGTTGCCGATTGTGACTGACCAGAAGATCCTTAGCATTTACCGTGAACAACTGTTAATCAACATTCGTATCTTCTGAATGATGGCTTTCGTAGTTATCCGGATTGCCACACCGTACAATAGAAGTTTCTTGACATTTGTAGTAAAAATGCTGTCTTTCATGTTGGTTTTAAGTTGTCTTGAGTTCTCAGTATTGTTAAATCTCAGGAATGCAGCCCTCACTTTACCGATCCGCGCTATCACATGTGCATCAGATCCACCTTGCGAATCAATGATTCTCCTCAGATATGTAAATATATTCGCATCTTCCAGAGTTTCATCGTCCAGTGTGATTTTATTGTGTTGTATAGAAGAATCTTGCTTATCACTTTGTGTACGTTTGGACTTTTGCAAATATATTTCTATTCATCCACCTTTGGCCTACTTTAGTTATCATATTTTATAAATTTTCCTACTACTATCTGTTCACCTATCTTCCTACTATCCACTTGTACTTTTGCCATTTTCATTTCATTGTGATTATTGACTCAAATTGCCTTGATTGGTTTAACATTTTCATATAATTATTCATGTATATTAGAGTAAGGCAGCCTGATGACGATCTAATCGAAAACAATATTGTTCGCTTATATCTGTGTTGTTCTAATTTTCACAATGGGAATCTTTAATACTCTTAAATTTAAACTGTCAAAATATTCAAATTTTTCGTGCATGGAAGAACGAAGTAAATAGAGAATGACATCACAAATCCATGAAGTCACTGACAACTGGACTGTGTCATGATGGTACATGTAGACTACTTGATTGCGGTCCGCAAGATGATAGTACTCGATGGTTAACGATCTCAAATGATATGGCTCAAAACCGTTTGCAATGACACAGATGCATCCATTCTTTATGTTCACTCAAATCGTAATCTTCTGGATTCTTCAACACCTCTACTTTTAGAACAACACATAGAAGCGAACAAAAGTGTTTTCGATTAGATCGTCATCAGGCTGCTTTACTCTAATATACATGAATATTTATATGAAAATGTTAAACCAATCATTAATCACAATAAAATGAAATAGAGATTACGTCACTACATATAATAGGCAAAAGTACAAGTGGATAGTAGGAAGACAGGTGTACTGATAGAAGTAAGAAATTTATAAAATATGATAACTAAAGTTTTATCAATAGTTGGTCAAAGGTGGATAAATAGACATCAAATAAACATTAAAAACATCAGAACCATTACGTAATAAGCAAATATGTAAAAATAAAAATAAAATAAGATAAAAAATACATAATGTCAAACGTTAGTTACGTCATATCCGGCCACGGAAGAGATAGGAGTGTCACAAATTTCTTCTGAACACATAAATTGGGGTTGAATATACGAATTCCTATGGCTTCTGCTATGTGTGTAGGAGACGGGATCGAACTCCGTTGGGAAATGATTGAGGTATACGATAGATCACCCGAAAAGATCTGGACTTATTTACAATATGACCACTATCAACCAGGTGTGCTAACATCGAACTGCGTATTATTTCTGACTGACCCTTCTTAAACCATGCTAGGAGATGTTCACTCATTCGTTGGTTAAGTTGCCTGGTAGTAAGCCCGATATAGCTATCTACACAGGAGCAGCTGAATTTGTAAATGCACATAGAGGAGGCCAACTCAGGTAACTTATCCTTCGTTTGAGTAGACATCACTGGTGTCGACTTGAGAAGGTCAACGCAAGTTTGGCTGCATTGAATGTTCTACTAATTGCTCTCATTAATTTGTCTCATTTGATGTCTATTCATCCACCTTTGACCAACTATTGATAAAACTTTAGTTATCATATTTTATGATTTTCTTACTACTATCAGTACAACTCTATCTTCCTACTATCCACTTGTACTTTTGCCTATTATGTGTAGTGACGTAATCTCTATTTCATTTCATTGTGATTATTGAATGATAAATTGCCTTGATTGGTTTAACATTTTCTTATATTAATATTCATGTATATTAGAGTAAAGCAGCCTGATGACGATCTAATCGAAAACAATATTGTACGCTTATATGTGTTGTTCTAATTTACACAATGGGAATCTTTAATATTCTTAAATATACTTCTGTTAAAAGAAATGAATCTTCGTAACAGTAGAGTTATGGAAATTAGTGTTTTTCGCACATCAATATCATCAATCAACTATTGTTAGACCACCGTTAGAAACCTGGAAGCACTGAAAGGAGGCCGTTTCGTCCTGGTATGGGACTCATCAGCAGTGCACATCCAAGACTCTTGCGCCTCGCAAGATTCGAACCGAGGGCCTTCGGATATGCACGCGAACACATAACCTCTGGACCAGTGGTCCTGTAAGGTGCAGGTGTCCTGAATGCGCACTGCCACTGATGGGTCCCATACCAGAACAAAACAGCCGTCTTTCAGTGCTTCCAGATTTCTAATTGTAGTCTAACATCGCTCGACTGAAGATTTCAAATGTGTATAATATCTATACACATTTGAAATCTTTGAAAAGCACTATTAGCTCAAACTAAAAACTTACACAAAATAACTGTTTCATTCTGACTAGATTTCATTAGTCTTTTGATGTTTCATTTTTTTCGGATCAAACAATTTATGACGAGTTTTTATCGTTTTTTTTCCAAATCGTACAAATCTCAAGCACTTATGTGATATTGCGGGGTTGTTGTGAAGACTACTGAGTTTTCGTTGAAACCATGAGTCGATCAATGTTAAACCACCACCGTCAGAAACCTGGAAGCACTGCACGACGGCCGTATCGTCGTGGTGTGGGATTCATCAGCAGTGCACATCCACGACTTCTGCACCCCGCGGGACTCGAACCCAGGACCTTCTGTATCGTGCGACAACGCCCTAACCGTTAGACCACTGAGCCGATGTCTAATGGTGTTAATGTCTAACTTGATCAAATTCATGGAGTTGCCCAACCTCATACACTGTATACATCCGAACAGGTTTGAACTTCACTGGTTACGACTTCCCACTAGAACTCGGAGAAGATTCCTCACCAAGCTAGTCACTAGTGAGCACATGTGATTGCATCGCGGGGTTGTTGTGAAGATTGTTAAGTTACACATTTTTGAAACCATGAATCGATCAATGTTAGACTAGCACCATTAGAAACCTGGAAGAAGCACTGAAAGACGGCCGTTTCGTCCTGGTATGGGACTCCTCAGCAGTTAACCTTGTCTTAATTCATACCACCACATTCTCCATCAAGTATCTGTTTCTGTTGATTATATAATGTTCACTATTTAGTAAAATATATATATGTTATGAATTCTGAGTTTGTTTTTAATTCGATTTAGGGATTTCAGTGAGTCATGGATGCGCACTGCCACTAATGAGCTAGTCCCCCATACCAAGACGAAACGGCTGTCTTTCAGTGCTTCCAGGTTTCTAGTGTTGGTCTAACAATGTTTAATTGATGATTTCAAATGTGTAAATACACAAATCTCCAAAGCTCTAACTGAAAATATCGTAACAGTGCTCACTAGTTACTAGGTTCGTGAGGAAATTCTCGGAGTTCTAGTTGAGAAGACATGACCAATGGAGTTCAACCCTGTCGGGTGTAAGCAGTAACTACCGAAGACAAATGGGTGAGGTCGCGCGAAAATCCCTAGATCAATCAGAGTTAGACATTAACACAGTTGGGTGCCGGCCCGGTGGTCCGATGATTAGGTGTTCGCGCACAATATCGAAGGTCCTTGGTTCGAACCCTGCTGATGAGTCCCATATCAGGATGAAACGGCCGTCAAATGCTTCCAGGTATCTAATGGTGGTGTAACGATGATTGATTGATGACTTTAAATGTGTGAAATCACGAAACTCCAAAGCTCTGCCTTAAAATAAATACATTCCTTCCTCTTGTCAGATTACTGAAAAATATTTTTCATTGGGAACAATTTTGATTATTATAAAGTGGTGACCTTTTCATCAAGACGAAATTTTTTTTAAAGATTATGGGAATCTCAGCTATTGGTAAGTTAATGTCTAGTATTGGGAAAATACTTACTTACTTACTTACCACGATGTTTATCTTGTTTGTAAGAGATTTTATAACTTTTTTGACAAATTCGTTTACATTTCGGCGTTTTATAAATTTTTGTACCACATGATAGATATTTTCCTTTTGTATGATGTTCACACTTGGGGAATGGATATGGTTGACAACCAGTGTGATTCTCTTTAGAACTACCAGTGACAATACCTTCATTTATCCAAAAATCCCATGCATAACTAGGAAAACCACCATTACAACCATATCCACAATGTGGACAACAACTTATTAGATCAATAGCACTCAATTCAACCGATTGTTTCCCGTGTGATTGTATACAGATACGATCACTTATTGCTTCTACTGCTGCAAATGCCTAGAATACAAAAAAGCATTAAAAATATGAAGATAGTTTTAATTGTAGCATGATATTTACACAATATGACTTTGTCAGTTAGTTAGAAAATGGTTTATATTTTAAGACTAGGTTATTCCTTGGACATTGTACTGAGTGCAACCACTCAACATATTACAGAATAATTTTTGGGAATCAACATGACATTACTACTGTGGTGTACGCTACTTATATTCACATAAGTAGTATAATATGATATTAAATGGAAATCAAACGTCTGACAGCAAAAAGATCGAGAAGGAAAGAATGAGAACAGAAGGCGATTTGTAGGTAAGGGTAAAGTGAACTGAAGTATGAACAGTCTAAATGAACATTGAACACTGAAATCTGAAACAGAAATAAGGATTAGTTTGCAAATGATGATTTCACGGGATGGTTTTGTAAATATTCCTAACAACTCTGTAATATTCGCATAAATATATTGTTGATGTCCTCACCTCGCCATCCAGGCTGTCGTACATAGCCTTCGCTCAGCCCAGTGCAGGAGTCGTCGGTGCGCACTGCCACTGATGAATCCCATACCAGGACGAAACAGCCGTCTTTCAGTGCTTCTTCCAGGTTTCTTCTAATGGTGCCGGCCTAACATTGATCGATTCATGGTTCAAAATAAAAACTTATGTGATATATCATAATTATTTTTATTAGGTAGACATTATTATCGAGTTAGCCATCACCCAATCAATATACAAAAAGAAATCTATCAATATGGTCCTGTGGAAGCAGCTATCAGTGTGTACACTGATTTCCTGTATTACAAATCTGGTATATATCAACATGCAAGAGGGACATTTTTAGGTTATCAAGCAGTTCGAATTATTGGTTGGGGTATAGACAATAATCAATCATATTGGTTATGTACTAATTCATGGAATGAAAATTGGGGTGAATATGGTTTATTTCGAATAAGACGTGGACAGAATGAATCCAACATTGAAAGTTATGTTGTAGCTGGTCAACCAGAAGATTAACTTGTTACAGTTTTCTTTTTTTTTAAAAAAAAAAAACAATGTTTTTATGTTTTTATTCAATCGATTTTTGTAATAAAACAATTTTTTATATGTGAAGATTTTTCAATTGTAACAGTTATTTACTTTTCTGCATTACGGGGTTGTGAAGATTGTTAAGTTACACATTTTATTGAAACCATGAATCGATCAATGTTAGACCAGCACCATTAGAAACCTGGAAGCAGCACTGCACGACGGTCGTTTCGTCCTGGTATGGGACTCCTCAGCAGTGCGCATCCACGTGAATTTGATCAAGTTAGACATTAACACCGTTAGATACCGGTTCAGTGGTCTAACGGTTAGGGCGTTCGCGCACAATACCGAAGGTCCTGGGTTGGAATCCTGTGGGGTGCAGGAGTCGTGGATGCGCACTGCTGAGGAGTCCCATACCAGGACGAAACGGCCGTCGTGCAGTGCTTCCAGTTTTCTAATGGTGGGCTAACATTAATCGATACATGGTTTCAGTAAAATTTACTTTTCTGCCTACTTATACCTGTTACTGCCAATGGAGTATAGGTTATCGATTAGTGAATTATTTGTTTGCTAAGCGTTTTATTTTAGTTAGTTGGATTTTCACTGGACGAAGTCTCTAAACCCATGCCCAACCACCATCTTTTATCTAAGATTTGGACCGGAAGTATTTGTAGAAGTGCTTCAGGTGGAGTTAGTTTATAAGTGTAGAACTGAATAAAATGAACGAAAGCATAGAATTTTCGCTAGGGAGTATAATGTTGAAAGTAAATTCAGAACATCTGCTGAATTTTACGACACTAAACATAAGTTGTTCCCTGGTTATCTAGGATTGGAGCCAGGGGCATTGCCGGAGGGGCTACAGGCAGAATTTTGTTTGCTACGTGTTAGAAAGATTAGTTAGCTTCCCTGTAACTTTGTTATGCTTGTCAGTTGATATGCTTGAACTATGACAAGTTCACCTTAGTCGGTAAATGAGAGCTAAGGCAAATGATCCATTGATACGATAGGCTACTCTAATCCGACCGTCTCAATCCTCCCCCCACGCCCACTAACGGTATCAAAAAGTCTTGATACGGCGTAGAAAGTGTATTTATACATTTAGGTCGACCGTGAATACTAACTAACCAATAGGAAACAACATTTAAAAGTAAGTGAACTTGATAGTTTAGGACGACCTTGAGTGTTGACCAATAGAATTAGACTTACAAAATAATTTCTTTATGATTTTGATGAATATCCTAAAAAACTTACTTTCACTTTAGGCTCCAGGAGAAGTTACATATGGAAGGAAATGACCAATAATTTGCTTGTCCTTGGAAATGAAAGTTTATTCTTAACGCATGGTATTTATATCATTAAACGATAATGTGCCTGGAATGGGTGACAAAGTTAATACTACTGTTGCTTTGTATACTCAAACTGCACACTACATAGAGATCAGGTCGTGTTACACAGGAAACTTGTCTCATGAACATATATTGGCGCTATTCAATAGTTTAGTTCACATAATTACATGAACTCACACTTTATGAGTTCGGAGTAGAAATCAATAGCATAAAAAGGCACCAAATATTGAATATTTGAGATCATTAATCAATCATTGTTAGACAGAGCGCCATTAGAAACCTGGAAACACTGCACAACGGCCGTTTCGTCCTGGTATGGGACTCATCAGTAACAATGCGCATCCACGACTCCTGCAACACGCAGGATTCGAACCCAGGACCTTCGGTACTGTAGGCGAACGCCCTAACCGCTAAACCACTGAGCCGGTACCTATCGGTGTTAGTGTCTAACTTGATCAATTCACGGAGATGCTCAACCTCATTCACAGCCTACAATACCGAAGTTCCTGGGTTCGAATCCTGCGGGGTGCAGGAGTCGTGGATGTGCACTGTCACTGATAAATCCCATACCAGGACGAAATGGCCGTCCCGTGCGTGCTTCCAGGTTTCTAATGGCGCTCTGTCTAACAATGATTGATTGATGATTATAAATGTGTAAAGACGCAAACCTCCAAAACTCTGCCCCAAAATATTGAATAGCTAGTAGTCTGTGTCCGTTTCTCCAATTTCAATGGCCAGTAGCATTTTCCATTCACCAACAGACATTATTGATACAAAGATGATATACTGTATCAAAAAAGATTCCATATGGCTCTCTTCCATTTTTACCTTCTCACTCAAGCAACCAGTTTAGGAGATTCATTCTATATTGACTTGTGTAGCTGTAAGGAGCTGTACATCTCAATCGACATGTACAAATATTGCTGTTTTTCGGTTTGTTTTAATTTAAAAGATAAATCTGTTGAGTTGAAATATTGCTTTTAAGTAGATACTCTGGATTTGTTAGCTAGACTGCATCAATAGTAACCTACTGTGAAAGAGAAAATACCACATTCCATCTGAGCAAGAAGTTAGCAAAATGTACCCCAATTTGGAATGCTGAAGGCAAAAAGATAAGAGAAAGAAGGTGAAACGTTTGAAAAGATGGCATTTTAAACATTATTCGCGTGATAGGAAAGCACAAGACAGAGTTGGTTGGAAAATGTTTGTCAGCGAGCGGCCTAAACTTCTTCAGAGGTAGCAGGTGAAAGTATGTATATAAGTCTTCCACATGTCTTCTAGTCTTCAGAAGATTTCGATGACATGAAATATTCGAATTCGACACTGTTCTCTCCAGTGATAACTTCTGGGTGACTGTCCTTTTGCATACGAATTATACGTCACGTATTACACAACAAACAGTTGAGTCTCCATGCGCACTGATCTCCGTAGTTCCAACGACCAACTCCGCTTCCAACCTAGCAATTAGGACCTCCAATGTCCTTTCCCTTCTCATACAGAGTAACTTATGCATTTCCGACTGAGCAGCAGCTTCCGAGGAACTTTCTACTTGCTAGAATCCATTTGCATCGATACCAAATGTAATAAGCATATATTTAATAGGCATATATACATTAACTAAGATATATTCTGTAGAACAAATCGGAGTAGCTATTCGAAAATGTCTACCATCAAACGTAAAATGAATGTCTTTGTACATAATATTAATAATTCATTCAACAATACTGACCAGATATAAACGTGAAGAACTCGACTGTTACACAAGTATAAAGAAAATAACCCGACTTAATAAGATGAGCAGCAGTAGCCATTGCGTCCTAATATGGAGGGACTCATCAGTAGAATGGATTTCCCCTTAATATCAATAGTATCATGAAGGTCAGCCAGTTCAAATACATATCATGATTGATAAGTAGTCTCCGAATATAGGCTTTTACACTCAGTATTGTAGCACACTTATGGATATCCTAATGAACAGACTAGTACTCCCTTACTGACACCATTTAGCAGTAAAACCTCCACTTCATTGTGTTACAAATCAGTGTTTTCTATCTCATTGAATAACATAATTCTTTGACATAGTCTAAATGTAACCACTGTGAGAAAACATGCTATGCAAACGAATTGATTGTTATTGAGAAAAAGCAACCTTATGATTCCATGCTGATTTAAAAATCCTACTAAATTTACCATTTCACAACTTTAGACGGACATACATATATTCAGGTAGGAATAATCGAACAAGGAATGTAAGCTTCGAATTGACTTCAGAGTCATTTAGGGTCAAATGCTTCAACAAACGTAAAAGCTAGAAAAAAAACTGTTTTTCTTAACAATAAAACTAGATATTGTCACTTTTCAAAATGATTACTTGATCAATGTTAAGTCACCAATGGAAACCTTGATTCACTAGACGGCCGTTTCATTCATTGGCACTGCTCATCCACGACTCTCGCACCTCACAAGATTGGATTCCAGGAATTTGTGCGCGAATGTCTAAGCTCTGGATCACTGAGTCGGTATCTAACGGTGTTATTGTTAAACAACGATCGATCCACGGTATTTCGCACCCTCATACAGAATCTATATTTGTTAGGATATTCATCTTTGGAATTCTAATTCTATTGGTCGATTCCTACTGGTCAATATTATGGTCGTCCAAACTATCAATGTCACATACTTCAATTTTGTTTCCCATTGGTCGTCCTGACTATCAATGTCACAGACTTCCATGCCATTACTTGTTCGACCTAAATGTATAAATACGCATTATCTGTAATGTTTTATGACCCGGATCCTAAGTTCGGGATCCTGATTGTCTTCTGGACTCAGACCATGTACTTGCTGGATGCTTGTAGAATACACGTCCTACTTCATATGAAGTCTTCGTGTTTTATTAAATGAGAATTGGGACAATCGTATTAGACTAGCATGTCATGTCACCGGATCCTCGATCCTCCCTCTCGTTTACCGACTAAGGTAAACTCGTAATAGTCCAAGCATATCAATTTGACATGTTAACATGTATACGTAACAATATTATTGAAATTATTTATAGAGTTGACCTTGCTACAGTTTCGAAAATGTTAAACGAAAACTGTCATGAATTCATTGTTTATTTTATAGAAGACATAGCGGCTAGTTGAAAAAACTGAATCCCACCTATATTTACAAAAACAATCGCTCCTAACTTGAACTGTGGCCTCGTAAATGTCTAGTCATTCCACTAATCAGCAGGCCATGAATCTCGCACAAGGGAAGGGAACCCAAGACATTTAGTATCGCTTATAAGCGATTAATTTTTAGATCAGTGAGTCGAAATCCATCAATGTCAATATCTGACTTCAATCAAATTCATGACAGTTTATTGTTTGATACTGTTGAAAATCAATTCAATTTCATTTTTATTACAAGTGAATAAATGACTATTATCGACAGTCAACGTCCATTCAATGCAGATATGAGGGCGTGGATCTGCAAAGCAAGGGCTGCATTTCTACACTTGAAAAATATCTGAAACTCCAAACAATTATCGATCACCACCAAAATCAGGATTTTTAACATAAATATCAAAGCAGTTCTACTGTATGGAGTGAGAACTCTAGGAGCTACGAAATCCATCATCCAGAAGACATAAGTATTCATCAACAGTTTCCCACACATAATACTTCGGATTCGTTGGTCAGACATCATCAGCAACAACTTAGTGTGGGATAAAACAAACTAGATTCC